TTTTCATTAATTTTTCTTTTGTTTTTCTTGGCGCTTTTGAAAATTATTGCGAATTTTAAATTTTGACCTCCCCAATGCATCAACGATATTCACTTTCCAATCGAACAATATACTGAAGTCGAAAATCGAAGCATTATTTCGACTACTTATCGTGTACACAGACACAAAAAAAAATAAAAAATAAAAAAATAAACACACATCATTGTAAAATCAATACATTCATCGTTTCACTCAGAATCTAAAATTAAAAATTAAAAAATTAAAAAAAAAAAAACACACATCATTGTAAAATCAATACATTCATCGTTCCACTCTGCAGAATCTAAAATTCAATTTTATTTTTAGATAACAAAATAATAATTTCTTATAGTTTTATTGTTTTTTTTAGCTCTATAACTAGAAGGGCAAGGGCATAATATTATAGTTGCTTTTTAAGTCTTTTTTATGTTTTTTTTTTTTAAAATTGGTACACAAAACGGTTATTATCTATGGCGTTTTCAGTCTGTTGTCGTTTTTGATCAATTAGCCCCTCACGAACAACTGGACATGATTACGACTTCTGCGGTATCAACGAGGGGGTCCATCTATAGATTTAGAACAATGTTAATATCATTTAGGTTAGGTTCAGGGGCGTCCTCAAGGGGAGGGGCGAATGGGGCAGTCGCCCCCTCCATGAGCTATTTTTTCTTTCTTAAAATGTTCATAATTTTTATTAAAATATAATACTAGGAAAAAATTATATAAGTCCGCTGATTTAGTGATATCGCTTTATATTGTTATCACTACGAAAAAAAACGAAATATGTTATCAGTTATCACGAGGCAGTTGCTTTTAGCTTTATAATTATTTTGTTGCTTTTCTATGCTTATTAGATTGAAAACTTGGTTGAGAAATCAAATGGGACAAGCACGTTTAACCGGTTTGGCACTTATGAATATACATAGCAATGTGCTTTTAGATATTGATAAGATAATTAATCGCTTTGCTAAATCTAAGCACAAAATAGATTTTATTCTTTGATTTGTACATTTTTTTTTTTTGCATTTTTCATTTTTCATTCATTAATTCATTAATTTATATTGAAATAATTTAATATGTACACAAATATTTTAAAACTGTGACTGTTAATTATACTTTGTTTTTTGTATCTATAACTATGCCTATGTCGAATGCCCTATTGCCCTAATGACATTACATACCCCGAGTTAAATCAGGTAAAACACCTAGTAATTGGTGTATTTTCATATATATATATATATAGGTGATGTATGAAGTTCGCACCCCCCCTATAAAAGGGTCTAGGGACGCCACTGGTTAGGTTAGGAACAATTTTAATATCATTGGAAGGTGAATATCGTTGGTGCATTGGGGAGGTCAAAATTTAAAATTCGCAATAATTTTCAAAAGCGCCAAGAAAAACAAAAGAAAAATTAAGGAAAAACGGGAATTTTTACGCAAAATCGATTTTGGTTTTTGGTGTAACTTTAAAACAAATGACCGTAGATACATGAAATTTTCAGTGGTTGTTTATATTTGCATTTTCTATACACGATAACATTTTCAAAATATTTTGATTTATTTTGAACTGTTTAGGGACATTTTCAGTTTCCAATTTTATTAGTTTTTTTTTTATGAATATCAATAAAAATTTATTTGTTAAGTGAAGATACTTGAAAATGTAATACAAGGCTCCTACTATATTGTTTCAAAGGCAGATGAAATATTAAAAATCGTTAGTCACAGTTTTTTTTTTTAAGCATTTAAAGTTCAAAAAATGACAAAATATGGAAAAATCACGAAAATTTGCAAATTATTTCTAGTTAGAAATTCATAAAAATTTTGCTTTTTAAATCTAAGATATGAAAATGTAATACAAATTCCTTATAAGATTTCCTACATTTATCAAAAAAAAAAATTCTATAAGAAAGTCAAATTAAATTTTTATGAGCGTTTGAAATTCAAATTTTTACAAGTTACAACATTGGATATTCACTCGATTTCTCATGTGGCGATTTCCTTATTTTGTTGTAATTCAAAAACGAATTACTGTAGATACATGAAAATTTCACTGAATGTTTATATTAGCATTTCCTATACACCATACAATTTTGAAAATATTTTGACTCTTTTTGAGCCGTTTACGGACATTTTCAGTTTTCAATTTTTTTAGTTTTTTTTTCCTATAAATATCAATAAAGTTATATCTGTTGGGCCAAAAAGTGTAAAAAATTAATACAAGGCTTCTGATATATTGTTACAATAGCAATTGAAAAATATTAAAAATACATAGGCATAATTTTTTTTTATAAGCATTTAAAGATCGCATTTTGACAAAATGTATCAATCATCGTAATTAATAAATTATAAAATGTTCAGTTTTTATAGCTAAGGATTGAAAATTTAAAAAAATGATTCTCATAAATAGTTCATACTGTAACCAAAAAATCTGAAAAATATATGAACACAGTAATTTTTTACAGACATTTTAAATTCAAATTTGGACGAAATTACATATTAAAATCAATATTAACGATCTTGGGTTTTTTGTTGTAATTTAAAAATATTATTCGGGGATATATGAAACTGAAAAATCAAAATATTATGACCTATCCATACAATCTACCATAGTACAAGGAATAAGAAGTATGCTCAATGATAAGACTGTGCATATTATAAGGGGCAATGAATAATTTATTCATAAATTTCATATAATTTAATACCATAGATAAGTATATAATATGTCTTATACCTAGACTGACATACCGTCTCCGCTCAGAATCGTTTTTCTTATACAATGATATTATATCATTGAATTCAAGTTTAATACCATCCATTATACAGTGACCCACTTGTAACCTACAGTACAGCAGAGCGACATCCACTTCCCCACTTTTTTTTTTTTTTTTTTTTTAATACAGAATTTTATACTCGCGTATAATATTATAATAAGTTAATAACTATTGTAATGATTAAATATTTGTTTGTATATACATATTCATACGTCTTATTTAATAATATTGAATTTAGTAATTCATCTTGTGTATTTAACTTTGAAATAATTTTTATAAAAGCTTCTTTGTCGAATTTTAAATTTTTTATTTCATCTTAATGAATGGGTTTTGGATAACGTTGATTAAGTGTAATATTGCAACATGAATCATTTAAAATACTTAAATCTAAAGGTAGTGTTGCAAAAGACGATTCTACTGTTTGCTCTGTTATTAATACGCCTTTAGTAGTATGAGCTTGACACCCACCTTTCAGAAATAATTTTCCAGAACTTTTCAATGTAATATTACGAATAAAAGATCGATTATTACAAATTATTGTAATTGTTGTAGGCTTTTCACACACAAAGTACCAATTATTTTTGAAAAACGATGGGTACCATAATTCTTTTTTAAATTCCGTGATATAAGTATCACATTGCGTAGGTTTAGTTAAAGCATTTTTTAATATTTCTGTTACACAAGTAGGATCAGTATCACTATTGTGTAACATTTCATTGAAACCGCAAACAAAAATGTCGGCAACTATTAAACAGTTATTGATATTTGACCAAATAAAATATTTTGTCAACACATCATCTGTTAATAAATACGTTGGATTTTCAGCGATATGTATAAATTGTCCCTGTTCATTAATTGGAACGTATATTGGTATAATATAATACAATTTAAAAATTTCGCCGCTACATAGTGGAATTTTTATTGAAAATATTATTCTATCGTTCATTGGGTGAAGGTCTATATGTAATATTTTGTATATTTCTTGTATATTAGTTTCATTAAATTTGATAGGGATTTGTAAATTTTCAGGTAGAATATTTTCTATTTGTTTTATTTCTGACAACAACTGATCTGGTGTAATTATAAAAACATCTAATTTATTTGTTTGAACGTTTGATATCATTCTTTGTAACCTCTAAAAATAAAATTAACCTACTAAAATATAATATTTAGATATTTAGGTAATACTAGTTTAGGTTACAGTTATATATTAGATAATATTATTTACTGTACCTATTGAATACATGCTTTACGAAGTAAGTATTTAATAATGCAATAAATATAAGCCGCGTAAAGGTACGCTCGAATATTAAAAATATTACGGCGGTAATGCGGTATAATATACGTGTATGAATTTTATATTTATGTGATCCGCCACAGACGAAGGTTGATAAAATAATAAACATCGCTCCCGAATGAGCAAAATTGTCGGCCAGCCGCCGACTGTGAGTAGTGGGCGCGGCTTAAGCGTCGCGTGCTTGCGGATCGCGAAAACACCTAACAGCGCGTTCTCTCGGTCGTTGTATACGTTTCGCTTTCGGTGTGGCGTCCTCTTAAAATTAGTTTTATTCACGGACTAAGATATAATGGACTGGAAACGACATGGTCGGCGGGGATCGGGGGACGGCCACGAAAAGATGTCACTTAGCTGATAAGAATACTGTTCTTGAAGTTTTCAGCGCTACCGGTGGTTTTATTTGGCTACACAATTTGTATCTTAGTCCGTGTTAAATACAGAGGGCGCTGTGAACTCCAAGAACAGATAGCGACCCCCCGCACTTTGCCTCTTGTACATACATTCGTGGCCATGATAAGCTGCTCGTTTCCAGTCCATTATATCTTAGTCCGTGGTTTTATTGGAGCGATTATCAAACTTTGATAATAATGCATATTTAAAACATTTATTATCACTATTTTTCACATTGATAATCGCTTTTTTATCTTTAACATACTTAGGTAAATCAATATATGTTCCTCCTTTCAGAGGATTCACTATATTGATTCTCAGCTGCAATGTTACCATAAGCGACCATCCAGAACCTTTCTGTTTAAAATCTGCCTCTTCTCGTAACAATTTATTGAACATGTTGTTTAGTAATTTTTTGAAATTTGATGAATTACACGCGAAAACATTAGAAGTTTTGAATGCAATATCCTGTACTTCTTGCATTAAAATTCTTTCATAAACACTATCTACAACTAAATTAAATTTTATAGATGAATTTTAATTACTTTCAATACCTCATCTTGTTCAGTTTCTTTTTGTATCATATTTTTATTTATACCTTGAAAATAATCATTAACAAAATGAATTGTTGACACATCCATTTCCCTATCATTTGTATGTGTGATTGCTAACCTACTTAATGCATCAGCACTTTGGTTATTTTCAGATTTAACATACTGAATACTATAATCATAATTCGCTAAGAACAAGGCATATCTCTGTATCCTATTAGGTGCCACCTGAGGTAAACTTTTTTTTTCATGAAAAATATATGTGAGAGGTTTATGATCAGTAAGTAAAATGAAATGTCTCCCATATAAATATTGGTGGAATTTTTTAATACAAAAAACTATAGCTAATGCCTCCTTATCTATCTGAGAATATTTTTGTTCGGCCAGATTCAATGTTCTAGAAGTATATGCGATCGGCCTTTCTTCATTGTTTGGTAAGATATGTGAAATTACACCCCCAATACCATAGGAACTATCATCGCATGACAATTTAATTTTGTAATTTTGATTGAAATGTGTTAATATTGGAGCTGAAGTTAGAATTTTTTTTATTTCATTAAAAGCATTGTCACATTTCTTATTCCAATTAAATTCATTATCTTTTTTAAGTAGATTGTATAATGGATATAATATTTCAGTGCTATTTTTAATAAATTTAAAATAATAATTTACCATCCCTAAAAAAGACTTAACTTGTGTTATATTAGTGGGAATTGGTGCATCTACAATTGCTTTAATTTTTGTTTCACTTGTATTTAATCCATGTTTATTTATTTTGTACCCTAAATACTGTATTTCATCTTGAAAAAATGCACATTTTTCTTCTCTAACTGTTAAACCACATTCTTTCAACTTGTTAAAAACTTCATTTAGTTTATTTATATGTGAAGCTACACTATCACTATGAATTAAAATATCATCTAAAAAACAAACCACATTGTCTATTTTCCTAAATAAATTTTCCATCTCTCTCTGAAAAATCCCTGGCGCTGAAGCAATTCCATACATTAATCTATTTGGTACATATAACCCTTGATGAGTTGATAAAGTCAGAATTTCTTTAGAATTTTCTTCAACTAATAACTGTGTATATGCTTGAGATAAATCAATTTTTGACCATATTACACTACCACTGATGTTAGAAAATAAATCTTCTATCCGTGGAAGTGGATACCTATCTACTTTTAAGTAAGGATTGATAGTAACTTTATAATCTCCACAAATACGAATAGATCCATTGGCATTAATTACTGGTACTATAGGAGTTCCAAAATCACATGTTTCTACTGGTGTTAATATACCCTCTTTAACTAACCTATCAAGTTCAGCTCCTACTTGGTCTTTAATTTTATAAGGCAAGGATCTTGGTTTAAAGAAAATTGGTTTAAAATTTTCTTTCAAATACAATTTACATTTATTTTTATTGTAAGTACCTAGTTTATCAGTAAAAACTTCAGGAAATTTAGTTATTAATTCTTTAATTTGATTTGAGAGATTCTGACTTGTAATATTATTCATTTCAAAATCAATATTAACCTTAATACCTAAATACTTCAACCAATCATTACCTAATAAAGGTGGGCCACCATTTTCAACAATATATAATTTTAAGTCATAATCTTTTTCATTAAATTTAACTTTAACATTAATTAAACCAATTGGTGTAATACTATCACCCGAGTAACTTCTTAAATTCAAATTTGTTTTAACAATAGTTAAATAATTAAAATTATTTTCATAATCTGATAAAGATATTGCTGAAATGGCTGAACCTGTATCTAATTGCATATCAATTATTTCATTTTCAATTTGAACTTTAATTGTTATGTTATTATTTTTTTTATTCACTACTTCTATTTGAAATAATGTGTCTATGTCTAAATTATCTGATTCCAAAAAATGATTTGATTTATTTATTTTGTTTTTAAAAACTTTTTTATTCCTTGTACCAAAGTTACTTTTATTATGATTTTTATTTTTTTCATCTGAAAACTTAGATTGAACCTTGTCAGTTTTATTTTTATTAAAATAACAAACCTTTTTTAAATGTCCCTTCTTATTACATATTTCACAATTTCGATTTTTAAAATAACAATTACCAAAAACATGATTCATATTACCACAACATGTACATGTGCCGTCAGCATTGTCACCATTCTTCCCATTTTTCCAATTTGGCTCCTTCCATTTGTTTGATGCCTTCTTTTTTATGAAGTTGAGATCTCCTTTGGTAGCCTGTTGAAAATTCTCCAGACTTTTCTCTGCGCCCTCGTGTGCTTGACATATTTCTTTAGTTCTTCCATAAGTCAAATTCGGTTCTTCACATAGTTTCTTTTTAAGCATACGGTCGCTTACACCATGAACTATTTGATCACGTAATGCTTCCTCCAAGTTATTTCCAAAACCACACAATATGGATAATTTTTGTAGTTTTGTCATAAATTCAGTGATCGTTTCATTGTTTTCTTGTAGACAATTACGGAATTTGGAACGTTCAGCAAGAATCGAAACTTTCGGTTGTAAGTAATCTTTCATATTACTTACTAGCTTTTCATACTCGACATCTTTAGGTAGTTCTGGAGTACAAAGAGATTTAAGTACTTTATAACCTTCACTTCCAATTAAGGTTAAAAATATAGCTGCTTTATTTTCTTTTATTTTATTCACCAGCATATAGAGTTCTAGTCGTTCTACCCAGGTTTCGAAATCTTCTTCTTGCTGTAATTTGAATTCTTCTATATTACCAATTTTAGCCATTTTTTTTTTCCGTTTTGATCCGTGTAAATTTGATATTAATTACACTTCTCAATATCCCATCTTCGTCGCCACTTTTGTGTCTCAAGTATTTTAACACAAAACAATATGTCTGAGTCAGAACTTTTATTATAATGATTTATAATTTATAATTAAATGAACTTTTTATTATAATGATGGCACGTTTTTAGTTATTACAGAACAATCAGTGTCGCCAACACAACAGTAGTTGCATTTATTTAAATATTAAATATTATGAATTATGATATATACCTACCTAGGTATAAGGGGGCTACGCGCAAATATACTTAAAAATATAGTACCTTGTATTTACAATACTATGAATAAGTAAATTAATTAATAATAAAACAGTAAACACGTAATATATTTATACTTAATATAATAATATTGATAAATTAATAAGTCTATAAATATAGTAGGCACCTAATACAATATGAAAAAAGGTAGACAAGTGGGTACCGCTCTGCTGTACAGTGGGTGTCAAGCATGTCGTTGTAATGGATGTGTTATATTTAAATTACATTGATAAATTATTGTAAACCAAAAAATATTCTGAGCGGAGACATTGTATCAGCCTATCACACTTGTAAAAGTAATCAAATTTAGTAGCTAAAAAAAAATTAACAAAGATCGAAAACGTGGCTTCCTGGGGAACTTTTTTAGTTTGATAGAATTACAAAAACTTGTTAGAAACCTTCTATTAAAATGTCTCAAGTTAGGTATGAAAAAAAAACTTTTATGAATTTTGTCAAAATTGGAACTTTATAAGAATATAACAAATAATTGAGCCTATGTATTTTTAAAACTTCCATTAATAAAAATTATAAGGAACCTATCATTACATTTTCAAGATTTTTTTACTAAAAGAAAAAGATTTTATCGAGGATAATTTTAAAAAAATTTAGGAAAATGGAAAAATTTCTCAAGGGCTCAAGCCTATAACTAGCTCAAAAATAGTCAAAATATTGAGAAAATGTTTTATGGAGAATTCTAATATAAATATTTGTTGAAAATTTCAAGGTTCTACAGTTAGGTTTGAGATACACCAAAAAAATAAAATCGATTTTTCAAAAATTGATTTTGTATAAAAGTCACCTATTTTTTTGTTTTTCTCAACTCTTTCTAAAACTTCTAGAAATTTTGAATGTTGACTCCCCAAAAATACCAACTATAGTTTCACTTTTCTATCAGTAAAGATGCTGATCTAGGAAATCGGAGCACTTTTACTACCCAAAAAGGGCCATACAAAACAGAAAAAAAACACACATCATTGTAAAATAAATAAAACTAAAAAAAATCGAAAATGTCCGTAATCAGCTCAGAAAGAGTGAAAGTGTTATAGGAATTGATAAAATATAGTGTAAATTGTTAAAATTATATACAGTTTTTAATTAATAAAAATGAGATAAATAATAAATTATGTATGGTTGTGTGAAATATGAATAATATCAATATTATCCTATGTTGTAAAATTTTGAACTTCAAACACTCATAAAAATTCAATTTGAATGTCCGGTAGATATTTTTTTCATAAAATTAAAAAACTTACGATTAAAATTTCCAAACCTTAGATTAAAAAAGAAAAATTGTTATGAATTTCTAACATAAAATAATTTGCACATTTTCTTCATTTTTATGTATTTTCTATGTTGCCAAAATTCGAACTTTAAATGCTTGTAAAAAAAAAGTGTGACTGTATAATTAATATTTTTTAACTACTATTAGGAGCCAGTTATTAAATTATGTATTACGCTATTTATTATTGTATATTGTATTCGAAGATATACGCGTGTATTTTAGTCTAAGTAGTCTAACTATATAAATATATAATGTCCTATACTCATTCATTGATATAGCCAGAATAGCCAGATGACTTAGTATTGTATTTTAAACTAAAGTCATCAGTATGAAGTACGTAGTTTATAGGTTATAATGTAATAAATACAGTGCTATACTCGACTATAAAATGTACCAACCTATGTAAAATTTGAAAAAAAATTGTTATTTTTATGGAGTCTCGTGGAAGTTATGCATGTAAAGAAGGGTTTGTATAATATAGTGGCGTAATTTCAGTTTTTGAGAAGGGGAGAGGCAAATATTTTAGATCGGTCCATAATAGAACTGAGAAAAACAATTATCCGTAATAATTATATACCTATAAAAATTGAGAATCCCTAGTTACAATTTTTTTTCTAAGCATTTTAAGTTCAAATATTGACAAAATACATAAAAATGACAAAAAATTGCAAATTATTTTAAGTTAGAAATTCATAAAAAATTTTCTTTTTAATTCTAAGATTTTAAAATGTAATACAAGATTCCTCATAAGTTTTTCCACCTTGATTAAAAAAAAAAATTCTAGAAGAAAGTCAAATTAAATTTTTATGACCGTTTGAAATTCATATTTTTACAACATTTGATATTCGCTCGATTTCTCATGTAACGATTTTCTTATTTTGTTGTAATTAAAAAACGAATGACTGTATATATTTGAAAATTTTACTGAATGTTTATATTAGCATTTTCTATACACCATTCAATTTTCAAATTAATTTGACTATTTTTGAGCTGTTTACAGACATTGTCAGTTTTCAATATTTTTAGTTTTTTTTTTCTATAAATATCAATAAAAATGTATTTGTTGGACGAAAAAGCTTGAAAATTTAATACGAGGCTCCTGATATATTGTTATAATAGCAGTCGCAAAATATTAAAAATACATTAGCACAATTTTTTTTATAGGCATTTGAAGTTCAAATTTGGACAAAATTTATCAAAATATCGAAAATTATCAATCACTGTAATTAAAAAATTATAAAATGTTCAGTTATTATAACTAAGGATTGGAAATTTAAAACAAAGATTCTTTTAAAAGTTCATACTGTAACCAAAAAATCTAAAAAATACATAAACACAGTTTTTTTTTTACAGACATTTTAAATTCAAATTTGGACGAAATGTTTAATATTTATGTTCTTTTACCCAAACTGACATACCGTCTCCGCTCAGAATCGTTTTTCTTATACAATGATATTATATCATTGAATTCAAAATTAATACCTTCCATTATACAGTGACCCCTAGTAACTTACTGTACAGCAGAGCGACATCCACTTACCAGCTTTTTTTTTTAATTTTGTGCATTTTCTTCAATATTTTTAGTGTAGATACACTTGTTGGCACAGGTATTAATATTACTTTTTTATATCAAACCTTTGAGTGGAGTACAAAGCTTCTAGCGGGATTTTTTTCTAGCATTACTCATAATCTAATACTAAGGTTTCATAAACACAATAATTACACTAAAAATCAAGAGTTTGATGAAGACTCTTTAGAAAGAAAAAATGTTCAGCGTCATAATAATAAAGCCAATATTTATCCAAATTTAATGGTTTAAATCCATCAAAATTAAAAAATTAAAAATATTTAATATTAAATATATGCACCCATTTTTATTTATTATTTTAAAACTAAGTAATACAAATATTTGTATCATATTTATTTATTAATATATTTATTTATTTAACTTGTATACCTACAAATTAATTTTACATGGGACTATAATTGTTTTTTTATTACATCGCAAAACAAATATGTAAAATTCTAAGGGCATAATATTATCTATATATATAAAAATGGAGACAAATAATTCGAAATTGCATCAGTTGAGAACGGCTGGGCCGATTTTGCTCAAATTTTTTTTAAGATGTTCGTAATTGCCAGGTAAAGGTTTTTACGAAAGAAAATTTTTAAAAAGTCAACCGAATAATTAGAAAAACTGCAAAAACTATTTATTGATGTCTGGGATTTGAACTCGATACCGTTGTCTTTATTTACTCTATGGTATATTATATTATATTATATTGGTTGCTATTGGTTAATCGGGCATGTTTGTTGATTTGTATTATTATTTTTTGTAAATATATCTTATATATAAATGAATGACCTATGGGAAGAAGATACGCTAATTTAAAAAGGGTTAAATTTGGTTTTTTTTATTCATCGGATTTTAGTACGGTTAGGTTAGGTTAAGATTTATAGGTAGGTGGAATTAAGTAAAAACGTCAAACTTGGTATAACTTTGGTACTTTTTGAGTTAAATCATACACTTACGTACAAACAGCACGGGTTAAATTACCTATCTGATAATGTACTGCTGGCTGCTGCAATTCAGAATTTTTATTCCGGGCAACAGAAAATTTAAGATAAATATAGAACATCATACACCGAATATTAAATAACGCATTGAACAATGTTTGAGTCATATAGAGTTGGTACATTTAACGGGAAACGAAATGCACGGGACCAGCTAGTTTATTATATTTTATTTTATTATTACATGCATAACTTACAATGCCCTTTTTACATATAGATAATATAATGTACATATTATGATATTTCATAAAATAAAAGCATAGGTAGTATACTAGAATATAATATACGTCAGTTACACTATCTACGCTACCTATACCATTAATTTAAGTTACCTATCAATTATAATAAATTGTCATTAATCTAAATGTTTTGTTTCAACTAACTATTATATATAACAAATGTGGTCTGTACATAATTTAATTTAAATTTATATACATTATATGATATTATGATCAATGAAAGTAGGTATAGTTAGACAGTTCTGACACCTCAACCTGCTGGCAAATTCCTATACCCGTCTGCTCAACCCACTACACCGTCTGCTCAACCCACTATACCCGTCTGCTCATCCCAATATACCTGTCTGCTCATCCCAATACACCGTTTGCTCATCCTTACACATTGACGGCTGCTGAACCCACCATATATCACACACGTTAACGATGTACCCCCGCCACCCCACTACCTATGACCACCGCGCGTGGAAAATAATTTAAACATTTATCCGTCAGACCGGGTTTCGAACCAGGTTCCCTTGCATGATAAGCGACCACCGTACCACTGGGCCGCCTACTCGCATATGTTTGAGAAAGTATATTCTATCTCAT